TTATCCAGTCAGGGCTCTACTTTCTTGTTGGTTACTTCAATGCATGGAGACTTAAGCCTTAACTGGGATTTCTCATTGAGTCTGACAGGCAATGGCCGTTTCTCAATATGCGTTCTTGAGCGTTCTCGTGTGCTCGTCTACTTGTGACAGCCCGAGTACTGTTCCAATTCTCGAGAACGCCAGATCGAGAACGCACCAAAACCCCGGATGTTGTTCTCGCCCCGCCCTCTTTATCGAGCATGCATCAGAGCAGACTTGTGCGTTCTTCAGACTGACCGCTTCCCCAGAATGCCCCGCGGCCGCAGCTTGATTCGAGACAGCGCTAACAGTGTTAAGTTAAACATTCCCTTTTCTGCTGCTGTTGTTCTTCAAAAGTACGGAACTAAATGGAGAATCAGTTGTGTGTTCTCTTTACTGTCACCCACTGGGCGGGAGGTGTAGTGCAATTTCTCCCAGGCTGAATGTTAAGACCTTCAGAATATTGGGAAAGCATACTAATCAGTGGCGGCTGGCCCATAGGGGGCGCTGGGGCACCGCCCTCCCTGATAAGAAGAGAGAAACGTAAAATATATTTTTAGAAATTAACTCATAAATGTCTGTTTTACTCTCTAGACTGTGTAACTATAAGCAAAACAAATTATATAAACTACATTTCCCTATCTACTGTCATTAATTTGTGGATTTCCACAGACAGACTCCTACCGTCTCTGTTCTGGGGGCTGTGATCAGACTGACCCACATTTGCAGAGAATCTGTCAATCATGTACTATTGCTAGGTGAATTTAATGGCCAATCAGCGTCTCGGAACTTTATGGTATTGGGACGCTGAAAATACTGCGCTTTTACAGGCTTCTCTTCTGAACCCAAGCGCAGGTGCAGACAATTAGAGGGAAGATGGCGAATGTAACGAGCGAGATGCAGCTTCCACCAAATTCGGTGAGATCCTTATTTATCTACCCGTTTGCCAGAAGAACATCCCTGTTGTAGGATATGAACATTTCATTTCATGGTTATTGTGACTGTGACGAATCCACCTCGTCGCTTAAAACAACCTCTCTAACTTTGCGCGCCACACACACATTCCTGTTATACTGTGTTTGTGAGGACCAATACACTCGCGCTGAGATCAGTAGCTCCATTAACTTAAAACACACAAGCTGTTCCTGGTTACCTGCTGGCATATTGAGGGTGCACACTTAATATTTCAGTGGGGTTAGCCGTGTGTGTGTGTGTGTGTGTGTGTGTGTGTGTGTGTGTGTGTGTTCTTGTTTTTATCACATCATGGGGACCTCGGATTGTTTACACAGTCACGTCATGGGGACCTCCTCCCTCATGGGGACCTAAAAGTTGGTCCCCATAAGGAAAATGGGTTAAAATGACTATTTAAGACATTTTAAGGGTGCTGGTGAAGTTCCAGCAATGGCCCATATCACATGTTTTTCGGTCACTTTTGTGTTAGTGTGTGAGACCCAATACTGCCCCCTTAAGGTTTCAGGTTGGTACTGCACCTCACGGTAATTCACACACTTTTCCAAATATGGTTGGGTACCGCCTTCTTCCTGGTCCCCAAAAAGAAGGTTATGGCAAAAACTTGAAATGATTTTGTTTAAAAGACAATATCAACTTAAAAGATAAAATTCATAACTCTAACTAAAAATTGACATTTTTCTACATAGATTGACTCCACTGATTCAGTATTTAGACTTTTGTTATGTGAAAATACCCACCATCAAGAATTGTTCATATGTATTTTTATTGTCTGTTTACTGATCTTTAATACAGTTAAAAAATACAAAAATGGGGTTCATTGTTTGAATTTATTAGTAACTCAGTATGAAATAGAGTCCATAAAAAGTGAATTTTGCATTGCAAATATCCAGTGTATAGTGCACTACTTTTTTAATAGGTAGCTGCGGATACAGGAGATTGACGTTAAAACATAGTTTCATATGATTTCAGCGAATGACCGTCTAGTGTTTATTAAGTATCTATCTCACTGTCTCAATCTGTGCAGTGGAGGATAAGGGACTCTCCTGCTGCTGCCACGCTCTTTTAACAAGGATGAGAATATGTTAGAACTTCAGTGGAGGCTGAATATCACTGTATTCCACCAGAATGTTAGGCAATGTGGAGTGAACAATCAGTAACATGTTGCCTCCATAGGCCTTCCTGAATCCCCCTCTGTGAAGGCAGCAGACATTGTTTCCTCATACTTGTCATCCTCTTACTCTTCTCTGCTCTTGGATATGGGCCATCAGAAACTTTCGGTGGGTCATTTTCAACCATGTAGCCTACTGCCTAAATATGTCCCTCATTTTGTGTGTTAAAGGCCATTCAGATGGATCTTCTGAATAAAGCCTTGTCTCAGCACTCTCCCCTGCAGCTCTCTGCTCCTCTCCCTCTTCATCATCTGAACCTCTATGCTCCTCTCCCTCTTCTTCATCATCTGGTCCTCTCTGCTCCTCTCCCTCATCTGCACCTTTCTGTTCCACATTCTCCCAATTTTCCCAAAAAAGAACACAATGAGAGATGGTCATCAGAAATTCAAACCATTATGGTATTTATGTTTTTGCTGCCTCCCAAATGTATCTTCTATCACCGACCTCATGTCTGTCTCCTTCACCCCTTCTCTGTGGCATTCTCACTAAGTGATATGGTCAAAAAGCATTATAAATTAGTTGTAAAAATTACAGATCTTAATACAGTTTTTAAAAATAATGTTTAAACATTATCGATTGGGATTAAGTAGCTGTTCCCTCACTTCCACCTAATATTAGACCAACCTGTTGCTTTCCCCTGTCTGTACTGATTATTCCTCTGTCATCTTCTCTTCTTTCTCTCCATCCTCACAGCTGAATTACATTAATGTTATGTTAAGTAGGGTTAAAAAAATAAAGCAGTCAAACTACAATAAAAATTAATATTTAAATTTGAATGATCTTCTTGTTGGATAACAGTTACTGACTGGACCCTGCATCTTATCTGACTTATCAGATACATCACAACACCACTGTAGTGATACTGAATAAAACATTTAAACTCAAGTGCCCCCCTGCCAAAAAGGTTGGTAACATGGGTCACCGAGTCTAAGGGCTATAATGACACTGGATTAATGTGTCTGATACACACATAAACTTGTGCATCTCATCTTTAATTAAAAAAAATCAATAATAAGAAATGTACATATGAGTGAATAAATTGCAGCTAAGCGTTGGACCATAGCTGAGCACTGGCCAAGACATTTTAGCTTTCCTGTGTTAATATTTCACAAGTTTTATTTCGGTCATTCTTACATTTAGTGTGTGGATATGTGTGTGTTACAGGCGTATGTATCAGATATTCCTAGCAATACAGAAGAAATCGCGTTCCTTATTGAATCAAAAGGGGACACAACATTTAACAGCCAAATATGGGACGACTCCGTATCAGGCTAGCTTTATCTAACCTGAATATTTACAACCCTCCTGTCCTGTTGTCGATACACTGACAGAACTTACCTACTGTCTTTCAACCACATTGAAAGGCTTTTTTTCATCCCGCCAACAACTTTATCCTTCTCCCTTTTTCTTTTTCTGTGTTGCGCCTAGGGCTGGGTACCGAACTTCGGTTCTTTCATCGTACCGACCGAAATGCTTCGGTTCTACAGAGTATCGAAACATGCCTCGTCTTTCGGTACCAAGTTTCGGTGATTGGCTGTAACACTTAACATGATTGCGTCATCCAGGAAAAATACACAGGTGGTCCCGCCTACCGCCAGGGTTCATGTGTATCTGTTGTGAAATGGTTGCAGCGTCGTGGAACCCCTTTAAAATGCCCCCCAGGTCAAAAGTGCGGCTTCACTTTATTAAGACTGATGCCAATAGTGCGCAATGCAATACATCGTGCACGGAAACAATTTAAGAGCAGAAAGTTGCTCGGTGTTTGACTGCAAGAAGAGCGGACCGCAGCTGGCGCCACCATCCTCCTCTCAGCAGCGCGTGGGCAGAGCAAAGCCAGAGCGGAGTGAATCATGCTGCTTTCAAACTGGACGCAGCAGGAGCAGCAAAATCACATCTGCTGCTTCCTGTTTGCTGCTTGTACCAGCTTCTGACGCGCGGCTGAAGAAGCTTTGCTGCTCTGGCTGCACGGTCGAAAAGTGGCTCTGACACACGTTGGGCGGAGCTACTCTATCCTTTATTTTCCTTGCAGCTATATTTGCTGTGATCAGTGGGAATAAAGTAGTTTTATTATGTTTTTAAGTGGGAAAATCCACCTGAAAACTTACATCGGTGCAGTCAGTTCATCCTGCCTTCCAATATTTCTGTCGGAGCTGCTCAGACCCCCCCCATACCAGCGGTGCGCTGTCAGTAGGATCCCAGACATGGTAATTTTTCTAAAGAAAAACTGCTAAGTAAAAAGGTCCTCACATTGTAACAGTGAATATTAGACACTGATTTTTTTTTTTTTTTATGTAAGAGGAAAAATGTAAATGGAAAAATCAGAGCTTAAAATAAAACTCAAGATTTGTACTTTTTTATGTTGTGTAATTTTCTTTTTCTTTGAATTGATATTATAAAACTGGTATCGAAAAAATGTATCGTTCAGGAACCGGTATTGAAGTGAAGGTATCGGTATTGGTACAGGAACCGAACATTTTTGAACAATACCCAGCCCTAGTTGCGCCCCGGAAAGTTTTTTTTTTTTCTGGCGCAAGAGTGATCATTCAGTGCTTTAAGCACCGCCTCTGGCGGTCATCTGGGATTAATAGAACCGTGGTTACATATGTAACCTTCGTTCTATTTATTTTCTGAATTCCTTTAAATTAAAATCGCCAACATTTAAATCAGATTTTTCTGAAAAACTGAAATATTCAATATTAAGCATTGCAAAAAACTATGGAATGTCTTAAATAAATAAAAAAAACTTCAGAATTCCGTCATAGTTTTACTTCCTCTTATAGGCTTTTATTTTGGAAACAGCAGGAAGTAGCAACTAACTGGTAGTAGCTTGGTTTCTCACTTGTTTGATGCTCACTCCATGATAAAAACAACACGCAGGACTTTAAGAAAACTGTGACGGTCCAAAAAATGCTCAGTAAGTATGAAAGTTTTGCAATGTAATGTATTATCTACATATCGTTGTTTTCTGCCATTTGTGATTTGTTTAAAAACATGTGTAGTTTAGCAAGACAAGCTCTAGCTAGGAAGCTAAGTCCTGTCATTTCAGATATGTCCATTTTTGGTTTTAAATTGTTAGTGTCAAGTGATAAAATGTGAATTTCATTTCAGGTGAGGTAAATCCCCTGAGCACTTGAATAAATTTGGATGAATTATGTGCTTTTATTGTCATTAGCTAAATCACAGGTGGTTAGCCATGTGATGTCTCATAGATTGGGAGGCATGGTTAGCCATTAAGTCACCATTTTTCTAAAATTTGTGAAAGAAACTCATGTTGTAATGTATGTTCATTATCAGTGATGGCATAAAATGTCTGCTTCCAAAAATAATGTTTATATAATTATGTGTTGCAATCACGAGTGCTTATGTGTATTTTATATATTTTCAGTGCCAAAAAATGGCAATAATAGTTAGCTGTTTTAAGGTTTTCATCTTTTATAGAAATATTGGTTTGGAGCTTATTTTTATGTTTTGCAGGTTAAGATGACACCACGTATCAGTCCAATGAAAGATGCAATGCATCATGTTGTTTCGAGAACAGACAAAATATCAAAACTTGAGGTGAAGTACATTAATCCAGTGAAAGGTAAGATGTCATTATTTATCAAATTCAATCAAAGATGAATAACAAAGTCAAACTGTCCAGCAACCAAACATATCTCAACATTTTAGCAACTAATTAATAAGAGGACACTGTGCTATGTTTTATAGGACGTGGGGTCTTTGCAAAAAGTTCAATTTACAAAGGAGAGTTTGTAGTTGAGTATTATGGAGAAAGGATTACTGAAGAAGAATCTGAGAGAAGAAGGAGACTGTACCACCCTGCTTGTGCTGCTTTTATGTTTGCATTTAAGTGGCACGGCAAAACATGGTGGTGAGGGCTAAAATATTTCTGTACTTTGAAAAATTCTGATGAATGGATTTTGCACGTTTATTTTATCCTTATGTTTTCTGCTTTTTATCATTTTTTTCCTTTAAAGCATTGATGCCTCCAGAGAAGATGGGTCACTCGGTAGACTCATAAATGATGACCACAGACAACCGAACTGCAAAATGAAAAAAATTAATGTGAATGGAAAACCCCACCTTTGTTTGTTTGCGGTTAACGACATTAAAGAAGGAGAAGAAATCACCTATGATTATGGGGGTTCAGACTGTCCATGGAGGACACAGGTAAGAAGCTTAGCAAAGAGTGAAGTATTGAGAAGCATGAAAAAAATACATCAAGAATTGTCATCAACACAATATAAAAGATTTGTAATACTTTGCAAAATTGTAATTTAAACACAAAGTTGGAAAAATACATGTTGATCCTGAGTGGCAGATTTGGTATGTAGATCATTTCGTGAATGTTCTGCATGTCAAAATGCAATTGCAGTGCTACATCTAACTAAGACTTAATCTAGTGTTACAGTTTCCAAAGTTTGCTAACCATTGTTCTCTTTTGGACACTCACGGAGTCCCCACAGCACACATTAACCAGTGTTACCTAGTGTGTTAGATGCTGGAACAAAGTTGGTCCCCAGAAGGACGTTTAACTGCATGTGTTCGGTCCCCATAAATCATGTCTGAGGCATTTGTAAAACACTAATCCCAGTTGCAATGCCTGAAAATGTACAAGATTTGGATTATTTCTGTGACATTGTGTTTAATATATTTTAAAGGAATAGTACACCCAAAACATCATTAGCCTTCATTTTCTACTCACCCCCATGCTGAACAACACTCTGGAGGACTTTTTTGATATCTCAAATGCATCTGGAGATCTGGGAGGCTTCTTGCTGTCTGCTGACATTCAAATAATGGAGGTCTATGGCGCCCGAGGCAGAAAGGTCCATAAAAGTCCACAAAAACGTGTCAATATTCCTCCATACTGCTTGTCCAATGTATTCCAAGTGTCCTGAGTGGGTAGCATCCAGAATTTACTCGAAACGAAGTCATTTAGAATGTTTTTAGAGCATAAACAGTAGTGTATAGGATATCCTCAAAGCGCGAGCCTGCGCAATCACGACGCTACGGAAGCCGGCACACCAAACCAGATGAAAGTGCGCATTAGAAATAGGCCCCCTTCTCAGATACCCCTAAATAAATCCCATTGTCGACAGCTGCCCTTAAAGGAAAAGTCTGGTCATCAAGGAATAATCAATGGATCATTATTTATACGTAAAAATAATACATTTGCAGTGATTTAATTCATTTAGCATCAATCAGTAAAAAAAATTGAAATAATATTGTTTGTCTCGATCACTGAGTGCGAGAGCGGCCATTTTTGCTCAAATATAGTAACCCCTCCCTCCTGCCATCTTCCAGCAGTGACGTCACGGTGCGGTAAGCCTAGCGCCATTCTCCCCGCTTTCCAAGCTAAATCAATGGGAACTACTAGACACATCTGCAATCAACAACAATTATTGAAGATTTCCAGAGGACTTCACCATTGAAATTCACCAGAGCTATAGTGAAACTGACAATGCCCACGTGCATGGCAGCTGGATGCTGGAATACATCGGGTAAAAGTGAAAAAAAAGAGTTATGCCACCTTTCTGATTCCTGATCCTCCACGGACGGGTTGGTCGTTGGATCGCCAACTTGAAGAGGGAGGATTTGCCATCGAACTTCTGGCCAGAGAAAAAACCCGTAATATGTAGCCAACATTTGGAAGAAGAATGTTTTCAAGATGACTTGGATAATAGCGCGTTGTGACAAACACCAGATACAGCACTGGGACTTGATCAACAGCCGATACCGCACCGTGACGTCACTAACCAGTAGGTGGCAGTAGTGTTCTTTGACAAACATGGATGCCTCCAGTAAAGCACATTCACATGAAAATTACTCTGAATTAAAAACACTGATCATTTATTGAACAGGATGGAATAATTTAATATTTAAAGTACTTACAGAAGTTTGTATTCTGAATGTAATCAGACTTCTCCTTTAAGATACTAGTGCCAAAGCCAAAAAAGCAGGACTGTAAAGTTGGGCGTATTTTATACATTTTTAATTTCTGAATGTATTCCTGGAATTTCTGTTGAGTCATGCAAAAGTATTTATGCTCATTTGGAGTTTTCCACCTTTTATCATGTTACAACCACAAATTTAAGTGCGTTTACAGTTAGAGCTCCTGAGGTAATGCAATATGGAACCATATGTGCTGCATTTACCAGCAAGGCTGAGTTACTTTTTCAAGTTCTGCCAAGTATTGCTTTTAATCGCATTAAAGTTCAGACTTCGGACTGTGAAATTCTACTTAAATCTGGGAGTCACCAAAATTTTCAATGCTTAGAGTTACTTGATGGGTGCTGAGTTATAGGAATGGCTACCAATACTGGCCTATGAACCTGAGGGGTCGTCATTCATTAAAATTCATAAACAGTAAACATATTTTTATTGTTTCTTTTAATTTTTTATTTTAATTTAGACACTCTGTTTACTTTTAAGGAAAGGCTTAAAAAGGGCTCTTTTTTTTAAATAAAGCTTATAGTAAATTATCCTAATCTATCTCTATAGTTCTGCTGCTATAGGCTTAGACTGCTGGAGGACATAGGGACCCCTTTTTCATCATTCTGCTTCATTCTATCTCTATTCTCCCACTCTGCAGAATCTGTTAGTTCAATCTCTAACGTTCTGCTCTCTCTGCTTTTTCTCATAGTAGCTTCATCTGGTCTGTTCCTGTTTGGCTGTGACTCCATCCTGGAGAGAAATATCAGCTGTGCTGCTGCCATCAACACCTTTGATCATATATGACAGAGTTGGAGCTGTTTTTCAGTGCTTAGTTCTGTTTCTCTCCTAGACATAGCTACTGGCTCAGCTGTGGCTAACTGTATGTGGTCTCCCTTCATCCCTTTTTGCAATAAAACTGGTTCAAAGCTCATATGCTTAACAGTTTCTTTCCTAGACAGAGCCACACGTGGAGCTAGTTTACTATTAACTTTTCTAACATAGAAAGTCTTTATGGATCAGGGCTTCTATGTTCCTTTTGTTGTCGGCCTCTCTCTCCTTAAATCCTCAGTCAGCCTCAACAGAAGGCTACTCTTCTTGTTAAAAGGGAGTTTTTCTTCCTGACTGTCGCTGCATACATGCAATGTATGTCAATGACCACATTGTCAATTAGTCAATTACCACATGCTCATCCATGCTCATCTAACAGAAGCAGGTTCTGCTCAGTCAATGACTGGATCCCATCAGCTGGCTTTACTTGGAACATTTTTAACAAATCCATTAATTAATTAACTAATTGAATTGTATCTGTTTTTCAATTGTATCTTGAGAAGAAATTTGTTGTCAGCCAAATTTAATTGAATATAAGACACAGAAGGACTATCTGTGCTGATACAAGATCTAGCGGTTCTTCTGTCAGCAGGAATAAAAATAAATTGGATCATTTAATTCCTTTTTTTGGATGGGGGGGGGGGCTTACTGCTAAAGCCGCTCTAAAAAGTCTTCATACTTCGTCTAGAACACCGAGGTCAAAGCACTGAATGCTTTTAGAAGTTTCAAGGGGCAAGCTGAACTGAAGGGTTGATTATGCCTTTGCAGCTGCTGCCTCCACTTTACGTAATAAACTACTCATCTTTGTAAAGCTTTGAATTTGTCAAGGCACCTAAAGAAGAGAACCTGCAGACTGTTGCTCTTGAATTTTTGAGTTATAAAATGATTTTACTTACTAGCACATGCATTTATTTATCTTGATGTCGCCCTTTGGTTTACTTTACTTTTGACCTTTTAAGACATTTATAGCTCTGCTCCTGTTTTTGTCGAATCATTGCTGTTTTGCAAATGTAGTTTGCATTGAAAATATTGCATTTGTTTCAGGCAAACACATGAAAAGAAGGCAAAGAGGTCTTGACTGACTTCCCTCCAAGATCCTTAAAAGCAATCCTGCTCTGTTGTTGTGTCATATACGTAATAGAAAAAGGTGAGAATCCTTTAGACCTACATGCCCCGTTTTTAGTAAAGTGGGGAAAAATGGATTTGTTAGATCTGATCCATTGCAAGCGTCAGCATCCGATACAACAGTTTTCCCACTCAATAGTTTCTTGTTTCAATTTTAACTTCTGTGCAACTGACGAAAATTAACTCTTTAAAAACAGAAACATAAAGAAAATGGGGCATAAACCATAGCACTTAACTGATTTTGACTGTGAGGTTTATTCAGGTCAATCCTTACAATACCAAACACCTTGACATCAATTGTGAAATGAATAAGAATTGCACTTTAGTCTGAGTATTTCGTCTATAAGAGCAAAGCAGTCTAGAAAAAAAATTATTAATGGTGGTCAAATATTTTCAAGATGAGATAAATGATACGGCTAATTAATTTGCCCTAATTGTGTTTTACAAAACAACCTATCTTTATACTTCTAGCCCATTATGTGTGCCTTTAAAAAAAACAAAATGTTCAAACTACTTTCAGCCCCTGTTTTGGGAACCTTCATTGGCTCGTTAGAAATAATAATTTAGTGATAATGGCTCAGGCACCATAATTTTAATGAACAATTATGTCCTTTTTTCATTAAAGCATAAAAAAAAGACATCCGCTGAATGAACACAGAGCCGACGGATAAAGAGGCATAAAAAAAAGGAAGTGCCAACGCCTGTTGCTGTCATGTACAGATAAGAACGCAAGACTCACTGCCAAAGATGCTCTCTGCCCCTTCTTTTCACTCACACAGGGATTCTCATCAACTCAAACCGAAAATCAGTTTGCCTCAGTACCATCGGTCTCCTTGGCGACGACTCCTCAATTTTAACAGGTCCTTCAGGCCTCGATTTTTGTGACACTGCGATAGTTTAGCTTTAGACGTTCAAACTATTCAGGTTTACACCTGGTTATATAAAGGGGTAACAGGAAACACTCTCAAAAGACACAGAAGGTACCATCTATTGTATTTTTCTCACATCTTTAACTGAAAATGAGATGTATTTTTATTTGGCAGAAGATGTAAGCTAGATTTGGTTTCAGTGTAAAGTCTTTCAAATATCTGAAGAGGTACTAATAAAATGAAAGTTCACCTAAACCAGAGTTGGCAAGGAAAGAATGAAATACTTTGTTACTCTACTTATGTAGGCATCTAGTGCAAGTTGTGCATAAAGTCACCCCTCCTGCAAACTGGAAGCCTGGGTTTGTATCC